CAAAATGAACCAGCATTGAAATAAAATCCATAACTGTTATGAAATAATAATGAGAGAAAAACATATAATTGTAACTTTTTAACATAATCCATGATCAGCTTTACCAATTTCAGATTAATTTTTTGAAAAAAAATTGATGGTTTTTCAACTATCATCTCAAAAAAACAAGCACAACACTATTCACTTTCTTAATGTAATAAATAGAATTCTATCATTAATAATTTGGAAAGAAAATGAAGAACTATATATTAGTAGAGCCACATGTGATAAGGCTATATTTTTAAAAATCAAATAGGAATTTAAGTAGCCAGACGTATATTCAGAACACTACACTTCAAAATATGTCATTTTTCCAATAAGGATATTCTTGATCATACATCTTATTAACTTTTCTTGAATTGTACAACAAATGGCATTACTTTATAATGGTACATCTACACACTTCCTTACATATTTTAGCCAAAAAAAAAAAACAAATATTACTCAGCTTAATCACCTACCCCTATTCATCAAATCTGTCACTAAATGATGTGATTATTTCCAAATATAAAATGTACCCTCACAGAAAAAAGAAATTACTATCATCAAGCATATTCAAAAACATATTTACTGTCCCCCAAGGATAATTTATAAAAAGTTCTTAAAATAATTGGGGAAAAAAAAGAGAACATAGAAGCAAAAATGTGTTGCCTTTCTAACTTCCTGCTTTGAAAAGGACAACTCTCTTTAGATTATAAATATAGATATGTTCCTTGATCCATAAGATCTTACATGCCTAACCTACTCACATGCTCTCATGGATGTATATACACATATACACATACATGGGCATGAGAAATACTGACTTCCAGAATTTCTTACAAAGATATAAAAAGCACAAACCAATAAGATGATAAATATATTCGACTACACTAAAATTACTAACTTCTGTTCATCAGAACATATCACAAAGGAGTCAAAATGCAAACTATAAATGGGAGAAGATATTTGTAATACATGTCATTGAAAAGGATTAAGCTCCAAAATGTATAAAGTCAACCAACCAACAGAAAAATGGGTAGAAGACTACCACAGACACTTCACAGAAGAAACACAAACAGCACACAAACATATAAAAAGATGCTCAGTATCATTAGTAATTAAGAACAAAATAATTGGGAAAAATCCAAATATAATCAATAGTAGAAAAGATAAATAAATTGGGTTATATACAGAACAAAATATTTTACAGCAAAAATTAAGTGGCAGAAGAATGCATGCCGTATTATTAGTTTTATATAACATAAAATATAAAAACTTTCAAAAGTAAACATGTACATTGCCTATAGGAGCTGATTTTCAAAAGGAAAACTTCAGAAAACTGGGTTCTCACAAGCTAACTCATAGGATATTTATTCATGGATCCAGAGACAGAATTTTAGAGTTTGGAAAAAAAGATAGGAGATGTGTTACAATTCAATCCCAGGAAATCCCTTCTCCACCCACATATGCTATGCTCTCCATGTACATGCTATGTAGTCGCTGCTAAAACATCTCCTGAGATGGAGATCTTGCCATCACATCATGCTACTCATTTCACTTTTGGAATATATTAATTAGCAGAATATTAATTCTAAAGACTACTTCTCTATAACATTTCTTCTTTGGCCACTTAGATTCATTAAGAATTCCCTTTTTTTGTGACAGTGTTTCAACCAATATTTAAAAATAGTTATCCTTTCCTCCTAAATCTTCTATCTATATATAAAATAATGTCAACTTTTTTAAAAAAATACTTGTTATGCTTCCTAGACTTCCTCAAGTATATTAAAATCTTTTTTGAAGCTTGACACACCAAAATAATTATGATACCCCACATACCGTCTAAATATCTTAGTTCCCTGTCTTTGCTATTGACTCTACTACTGAAATATATTTTAATAGTCACATTTAATACTTCCTGATTCTATGTTTATGATAATTTTTTAAAAATAGATATCTGTTTTGTTTAGTTTTGTTTTTATATGAACAGTACATAAGCTTGCCCTTTAACATTATAAGCTTGGTCTTGTAAAGAAACGGCAAAAATAACTTTAAGTGCACTGATATTTCAACTATTCTAAAGATAGCTATCAGATTAATATGAAAACTCACAAGGCCAAAAGGCAACACCTAATTTGAGAGGATAAAATGGTCTGTTTCTCACGTTAAATTTACTGAGGGTTCATTTATATGAAAGTACATTCCATTTCTTCACACTGTCAGGTAGTGTTTGAATGCCAACTGACATGGTGAGGCCCATCATTAACGTTCAATTTTACAGAAAATCCTTCTTTGATGTCCCCTTTCAATATATCATTTAATTATATAAAGACAGGAAAAATGTTTTTGAGGTAGGGGGAGTAGAAGTTGCAGTATGAATTTGTGTAAGTTTACTATTAATGGTGGCTAGCATAATTCAAGTCCATGTTGATGAATAAATAGTGATGGACATCAGCATAACAGGTAGCCCTAGTAGCCCCAATTCACTGGAAAAGGAAACAGATGACCAGTCTTCAGAGACAAAAGTGAAATCTCAGTGCAATTAACAGAATCATGTGGCCAGTCACTGAGAGTTGATGTGAACAATCACAGATCACTTAGAGTAAGCACACAAAAGTCCTATTAAAATAATCACTGGATGATGAGCTGAAAGAATTGTTTCTTCTTTATTTTTTTTAAACCTATGAAAAAAATAAAATCAATACTATTGATTGTAGGCAGAAAAAAATAGGGCTTTCAAGGTACATAGCAGAGTTTAGTCCTAAACAATAAGGACACAGAGGTTGACTAAGTTTAAGCCAAACCACAGCCATTTTTCAATAAGAAAAAAAGAACTAATAAGAGAGGAAAGGATGTGAGATAATCAGTAGAAAGGTCGGTAAGCAGTTCCATGTTCAAAGGAGGCAGGAAAACCTAAAAGGTGTTTATAGGAAACATCTAGATTATTTTCTTTTTAAATTGTTGCAATTCTATTGTTTTCTTGCAAGTAATCAAAACTATTTTTTTAATCCAATGGTTTAATGTTGTGTATCTTATATGAGCTTCCCAAACTGGAGTCTATATAATAAATGTGTACTGATAGTCCTTCTAATCTGTATTCTTTGAATGTTAATACTGCCCAGACATTAGGTATGGGAGCTCTGGAGCCAAATGGCCATGATTTTCACCAGAACATAATGTTTGCATGATCTTGGCCAAGTTATTTAACTTATCCACACATCAGTTTCTCATCTACTACATGTAAGTAATATAATATCTACCTCTTAAGGTTGTTATGAAGATTAAAATTTTGATCTTCATAAAGTGATTAAACAGTACCTGGCACATGTAAGTACTTACTAAAAGCTATTACCATTAAAAAGCATTTCATGAAAAAAAGTTGATGATTTAAAAGTTTAACTTAAACTAGCCAATGGCCAAAGAACATGAAACACACACTTGTCATTTTTAGAAAATAAAATCTACCATCTTCCACAATGAAAAAAATGTAATCTATCTGCTTTTACAAGAATGATCACAGAAAACAGACAAAACCAGTATCTCTAAGCAAATCAATCATGTGAATGGGTACGAATTAGACATTTTTCATGAAAATATTAGATTAGGTTCCCAAAGGTATATTATTCACATCACCAATCTGAATCAGTAAATCAAAATTTGTTTTATTTTGGATGACGGTAGAGTGCAGTTTACTTTTATGATAAAAAAAAGAGGGAGGCCAAGGGTATAAGGATATTAACAAATTTTACATAATTAAGGCTGATGTCTATTTGTTTAGGAAAGTAAACTGCATTCAAGTATTTTGTAAGAGGCTTTTATATATTTGAAACATAATTAAACTGTAAATAGCCTTTACAACTTAATTTACTTACATAGCTGCCTTAAACTAATATCAAACAATTCTGATCAAAACTTGAAACTGAAACTTCTACTAGTCATCAATTTCAAGTATCTGAAAGTCAAATAATTCATTTTGCTTGAGAATACATGATAATATATTTATACTACCTCCGGATGATTTTCCCCCACTTATCCTAATTAGTAAAGTCTTACCATATGACTATTCTCTTTTGTTAAAATGATGATAAGTGTTGGCACTTAGGTATGCAGTAATACTTGGAACACTGCCCAGGCTAAAATAAAAATTACTTAAGGCACATGTTAAACAAGCATTTTATAAAGAAAACTTCATTACCAAAGAGAGACAAGAAAAATTGGACTGATTTTCCATGTAAACTTGTTGGGTGTTTTTCTGAATGTCTTGATTACAAGTAAGTGTATGAAAAATCCTCTCTATCATATTCAGCCACTGTTGCTATGGTATATCCTTATAAATGTTAATGTTCACAGATAAAAAAGAATCCATCCATCGATATCAAGAATATTGCTATCTAAATTTTGAGAAGATTGAATGGTGTTGATAAAAAGGCTAATTGAACAATGAAACATTTCCTCAATTACCACTCATAAAAATTTAAAGAATAGGGTTTGTTTGTTTGTTTGTTTGTTTAATTATTTTGACATAAGGATATTAGCACAAGATCAGCCAAGTTACTTTGAATTGGTTGAACTGGGTCAGATCAACATCGGTTTATAAGATTATGGTCACTTTAATGACTTTAACTGAAAGCCAATCAACAGTCATTATTTCAGGATCCCTTCTTCCCACAAAAAGAAAACATGCCATTATAAATTCCAAGTTAGCAATACACATTATAAAAACTTACCTAAACATAAGACATGTTTACACAATACATGCCTTAATTTTTGTCAAAGCAGTTTCTATCTTAGTTTGTGCAAAATTTATAAAAACAAACTATCACTCATATTAATTAGGCAGTTAATATGCCATTCAACTGTTTTTCAAAACAAAAGGGAAAAATGGAATTGTCTTATGTCATCTTTGGGGACATAAGACATAGGATGGTAAAATAAAGGGGAATAAGTAAATGTCAAAAGATCAGGGTTACAAACCATACCTTCCATGACATACACCAGTGACCCCACATCTCCTTCTTTGATGATGCAACTGTCTTTTCCATACTCCACTGGGTACATACAATCCACAATCTCCTGAATCTGTGACAGCTCCAAGTTCTTCATAAAGTCATTGTCAAGGATGGCTTCCTTAATGAGATCCTTGGACCTGAGGCAAGGGAGAGAAGGTTTACTGGCACATCTAGTAAGTGCTTTCATAGTTTGTGAGGTTAAGCAAAGCTATACAGTGTTCTAGCATACTACAAATACATTTTCTTGTTAGGAATGCAATAATTTTCTGAAGTACCTGAAAACAAAGTAATTCTTTGTTTGGCCACAAGAAAGGCACTGAGGAAATTTCCTTTAAGTAAACTACCATTTGATGAATATATGACAAGCAAACAAGAAAAATCTTAGAATCCCATTGTTTTTAGAATTTTTTTAACCACAAAGTTTGTAGAAAAACCAATGGACAAACATTTTAAGTTAGAGTTTTCAACTTAGTTTAAGAATAAATACAAACAAAATACAAAATGCTATAGAACAAATACCATTATTATTATGTTTAGATTTATAAAAGAACATCTGGATGTATTATGCTTCTTGCACTAGATTTTATGCTCCATGAGGAAAGGGATAATTTTTAATGTTTTCTCTAATGTAGGCCCAGCATCTATCACAATAATGGTTGCAATATTGATGATCAAGACATTTTTTGGACTAAAAAAAAATGGTAACAATTGGATCTTTAATTAGCTATTTAGACAACTGGTAGAAACATGACAGTTATTTATCCATACCTCATCATTCTGTAGAGAATATTTCTTCAAACAACTAAAATTGAGTTAATCGGTAAGATAAAAATCTATTGAACAAGTTGTTTCAAACACAAC